CTAGACACTTTGCTAGACACAGTATTTCAAGGTCTGTATCATTATTCCAGTTTCAAGTATTAGAAAACTGAGCCACAGAGAGGTTAAATATATGCCCAGGGACATTCAGCCAAGAGTTCTGGAGCCAAGACTCAGATCCAAATTTATCTGGCTTTACATCTTTCCATTACTCCATGGGGCCTTTTCAATTAATCTGACAAACACATGTTGAGTTTTTTGGAATAAAGAAGCAAAGAGGCAGTAAAATCACAAGGGAAGCTTATTCAAGACGCAACAGACACCTAAAGAGATAGGAAGGAAACTAAAAGTGTTCTGTTTTTTTATGTAGATTTTTTGGGACCCATTAGCTTGATTCTTCTATTTTCTAATCATTGCCAAATACACTTTTCAATTTATTTTTATGTCAGAATTATATGAAAGGATTTAAATTTTCCTTGAAAATCATGTACACATTCAGAATATTCCTAACTGAACATTTCTGAAACGTAGCTACTTTAACTCTCATGGCATTGGATATTATGTGACTCAGCCAGACATGAGAGGATTCACAGGGAGCGAGTACTTCAGAGGACCTCTGGGACGACTCATGCACTAGAGCAGGTGCTAGAACGACAAGCCAGAATCTCCCCTCTCAATCCCCAGGTAGATTTCCTCCATTTCAGCATATATCAAAAGTGTTTGCTCAACAGAATTACTCCTGCTTTTGGGCTTACTACCACCTTACTTTTTAGATGATGCTGAGAGTGATGGAAAAGACAACCTAAAATGACCCTGTTCTCTTTGTTGTGGTTAATAACATTAAGTTACTTCCTCGTAAGATGGTTATGCTAGTCAGAAGGCAGCCATTGGTATCCAGTGTTCTTCTCTAAGTTTTCTGCCCTAGTAGCCAAGGCAAGCATTGTTGACTCTGGAATTAGCCCTCTATTTCAGAATTGCCTCATCATGATCCTCCTTTGCTTTCTAGGAGACCCAATAGTTTGTGCTGAGCATCTGTCCTAATCCCTTATCCCAAGGGTTAAAGCAGCTATTTTAACCTGGCTGCCTGGCATTTCAGTTGCCAATCTTTTTTGGAAGCCGGACCTTTGTCCCATTACAAATACGTATTAGCAGTGAATTGATCTCCCAGTTCACAGCTGCCTGCCTGTCTGGCTTCGTGCTTGGATTTCTCAGCCCAGAATCTGTCTCTGTGCTCTCATACTTGAAGTTCCAATATTAGCTCAAATATGACTGGAACTATGTCTTTCACTCAACTACTGTCTATTCATCTAGGTGTCACTTCCTTGGTATGTCTTGTACTAGAGGGTAGGTTGGACATAGTTATGCATCCTTTCTTCTCTTTGCTGCCCCGGTGTACTTTTGCTTTTGTTTTTTGGCCAAGCCATGTGGTTTGTGGGACCTTAGTTCCCGTACCAAAGATCAAATCCATGCCCCTTGCAGTGGAAGCACAATGTTCCACCCACTGGGCTGCTGGGAATTCCCGCCCAATGTTTTGCACAGGCAGTTGATTATAATCAAAAGTTAGGAATGTTTATGTTGATAGGTAATAGGAACAAATCCAGAAAAGCAACTGAGTTACAAAATAAGTAAGTGGGTGTTCCTATAAAGATACTAGAACACAGCAGTAGGTATTTCACAATCCAGTGCAGTTTGGGAATCCAAACAGATATGTAGACAGTTTACATAAGGGAATTCTGTTTAAATAATACAGGGCTAAGGCAAGATATCTGGAACCCTCTGATATTCCATGTACAATCTCCATCTATAGAAGATTGGCTGGAAAAGTCAAGACTTTAGTCTCAGGGAGGTTGGACCCAAAAAGTTTACTGGGACATGAATAGAAGAGCAAGATAAGGCTCCAGGTTCTAAACTAGATTGTGAAGTGGGAATTGGATTGTGGGTAAACTTCAGATGTCAAGATGTTAAAAATGGAACTTGAGAATTGGAAAAGGAGCAAGTTGAGTTGATGGTGATTCATCTGAATATGAATCAGAGCTTCTTAAATTGTCCCAGACCAAGATCATCACTGAGCCTCAGCTCATGGAAAATGCAGTCACAGAAATAGAAATTTTGGCTCTTAATTCATTAATTTATTCCTAGCGGTCTCCCACTAAGAATATTCCAGTGTAAACTATGACCAGTAAACTGTTAAAAAGTGACGTGAATAATTTTGAAGGCTGTTGCTTTCTCCAGGGCATTTATAAATGATTACTGATTGTGTATTCCTATGCATATGTGAAATGAAAAGCCCATCTTCAGGTGGTATCTGTGAAGTTCTGTGGAAGTCCTGTGTATAAGAAACCAAATTTTTCTTCTTCCCCTTCAGTTTTATCATGGAGCCAAGCTATGGTTAAAATAGTCTATTGGGATATATTATTCCAGAATTTACACATCTATATATGTATGTCTCTGTAGGTACGTACAGAAGGGTCTGAATCTACATCTATAAACAAGAGGAAGTAAAAGGTGTTTTGCTAACTTAGAATAGTGCTTTATCATCCCCAGAGAAGGATTTGGGAGTAAGGAGTCAGCTTCATGTCTCTTTTTAATACAGCACCTGGTCTCTGAAGTCGTATAAGTTTCTGCCAAGGTGCACATCAAAGCAATTACTGTAATTTGTTGTATTTTAGGAATAGCTGTGATTATTTCAATCCCAATATTTATTGCAATTCTATTGTTTCAGCTTTGTAATAAATTGAATGCTGTGCAAAAATGAAAATGTGCATTGTCTTCCATAGGGAAACCTTCAATTTAGCAAGGGACACAGAATAACAAATAAACCTTGATCACAGTATTGAAAGTGCTGGCAAGATATGTAATGAAAAATATTTATATATAGGAATCTGTACGGGCTTCAAGCACGTTATAGTGTGCGCACACACACACACACACACACAGACGCACACACACCCAGAGAATCTCAACAAAAAGACAAACAACCCAGTTAAAAAATGGTCCAATGGCCAATAAGCACGTGAAGAAGTGTTCAAGATCATTAGTCATTAGTAAATGACTACTCAAGTGCAAATCAAAACCATTTTATATCCATAGGATGGCTTTAATTAAAAAACTAAAAAATAACAAGTATTGGCAAAGATACAGAAAAACTGGAACCCTCAGACGTTGCTGATAGTAATGTAAAATAGTACAGCCCTGTGAAAATCTGTTTGGCAGTTCCTCAAAACGTTAAACATAGAAATACCATATGACCCAGCAATTCTCCTCTTAGGCATATACCCAAGAGAACTGAAGCACATATTTGAACAAAAACATGTATACGCTAATGTTCATAGCATCATTATTCATGGAAACAACTCAAATGCACATCAGCTGGTGAATGAATAAGCAAAATGTGGTATATTCATAAAATGGAATATTTTTTACCTGTAAAGAGGAATGAACTACTGACACATGCTACAACATACATTAAGTTTATGCTAAGTGAAAGAAGTCAAACACAAAGACAATACATTATATAATTCCATTTGTATGAAAAGTCCAGGGTTTTGGGGTTTCTTTTGGGGATGAAGAAAATGTTCTGGAAACAGATAGTGGTGATGGTTGCACAGCATTGTGAATATACTAATGAACCACTGAATTGTATACTTCAAAATGGTTATTAAAGTGGTAAATTTATGTTGTGTGAATTTTATCACAATAAAAAAATACAGTCACATACATACAAAACTAAACAGAATTTACGGTATAAAGAAACAAATTTATAAATACAAATGAAAGTATAATTTATAAAATACAGGCATGATGCATTTGATGGGCATCTAAGAGTGAATTTTTAGAGTGTTTCAAAAGCTCATTTGTAAATTAGTGTTTTGGGAACTGGAACTTGTTTTATGATGATTCAGAAATCACTGGGTCTTAGGAGGTAGTCAGGAAAGATTATATTCAAATGCTAGGAAATAATATCCATGCCCTGTTTCCTAATAGGAAACTAAAAATCTTTTATTTCCCACATTTTAATTTCAAGCTTTTTTTATCACTGTTATTTAAACTGATTGAGTATTTAAATGACAGCAGTATTTGTTAGGTGTTGTTTCCCTCTCATTTAAATATATAATTCTGAGATTTCTTAGTGAAAATTATATCTTGATAACTATGAGAACATTATGTTAGTAGATTGAATACATATATTTTATTATATTTATATATAATTTTTAAGTCTCATAATATTTGTGTTCTTCCATGACATTATTTCATGCATTAATTCAAGATTCTTTTGTTACCATCTTAATATGATGAAACTCCTGAAAATTATAAAGATTTTGACAAAACATAATTTAAAATACTTTTCATAACATATCTAAACTTTTTTCTTAATTGATATAAAATAAGTTGAACTTTATGTATGTTTAGAAAATTCTTTCTGAAAATGCCTGCAAAATACTAAGATCTATAGTTTGCCTCTGAATGGATTCTATTTTTCTTATTTATTCAGCAGGGCTATTATTAGTTAATAGACTGATTCTTGAAAAATGCACTGTGTATTGTTAAGTTTAACAAAGAATACCTATTTTTTTTAAAAAACTAAGACTATTTCATTAATTTAGAAGTTATGTTATCAAAAGAAACAGGGAAGAAGCGTACTACCTATTCATTTATTTGCACATTAGTTTGTATAATACATAGGCAGTGTCCCCATTCTTGGTCAAAACATACTTTTTCCTGTTTGTTTGGGTTTTTTTTGGTCCTGCAGTGCAGTTTGCGGGATTTTAGTTCCCTGATCAGGGATTGAACCTGGCCCCGGGCCGTGAAAGCACCGAGTGCTAACCACTGGACTGCCAGGGAGTTCCCCTGTTTCTGTTTTTGTGATTGCCTTTTCCAATTAGATAGCCCTTCAAAAATGGTAAAGAACATTTTGCATGTTTGTCTTAAAATTTAATATCTGGTGATATTTATTTATATTTTAAGAAGTCTTTGTTTCTGGACTGTATTATATAACCACAGTAGCATCTATAAATAATTTGTGTGTTTTCTATTTCTTACAGATTCTACAAAGAAATTAAAAGACGTTCTTGAAGAATTCCATGGTAATGGTGTGCTTGCAAAGTATAATCCTGAAGGGGTAAAACCTTTTTTCTTTATTTAAGTTTCATATAGATGTTTGGAGGAGAGATTTCTTAATAAAGAGTCCTTGGAAATAGATATTCATATACAAAATGAAATTCATAATGAAATGCTATTCTGGAAGATACATTAAATGGTGTACTACTTTTTTCACCCAAAAGCATTTTTCTAATGAAAAGAACATTTCTATATTGTGTGCTTGGAAGTGTATAGATTATTTATAATACATGCTAGGTTCTTTTCCTAAAAGTCAGGAAACAGTTTTAGATAGAACGGGAGAGAAAGTGTGTCTGACTCTCACTCTATGACCTACAGATGTTAACTCCAAATGAACATTGGCATGGGGCAGGCAGTATTCCCCTGACTGAAGAAAGATTCCGTGATGGATATAAGTGGTCTCTTACTTTAAAGAGCAGGCTTGGATACAAAGAGAGGAATTTTTTCTCCTTATCTTGTTTTAGCCTGTTACCAATAAGCTTATGAATGTCTCCCTATAAAAACTTTATGTCCTGTCAATTGCTTTGAAGCACCTTGCTTGAATGAATGTCTTTCCCTCCCTAATTATTTGTTAATAACCTTGTCTTTAAGACAAGGTTAGCTGAGAAATGTTACATGTTAAACGTTTGATCATCATTGCTGTAAGTTCTTTTGCAGCTTCACCAAGTGACAGTTGGGTTGTATGGGAGCTAAAAGAAACTGCCCTTTGTAGAAGACTCTTTTGCCTGGATGTATTATCTAGCCATTCATTAGACAGATTTGTTTGCTGATGAAAACGTGATCTGTTTTTTGTTTTCATTACCATTGTGGTTTTGAATGTTTACAAAAGCACAGTTCTTGGCTATCCTTAATATTTAACTTTTCTGGGATTCATAGAACTAATATTTTAGTCAAAACCGAATCTCTAAATTCTGACCTCAAAATGTTCATATTGTTTTATAATTTCCTTTTAGTATTTCCAGTACTTACTATTCTTACTCCAATATTTACTATTTTTCCTTCCATAGTTTTATTCTGTCTACATTCTGATACATAATTATACTTTTTAAAGCTCTTTAACCTAAGATTTATTTTCTTTTTAAAAAATAAAGTTAATGTTTAGTGCCTACAAATGATGCAGAAAATAGACAATTTAAAGCTACTCCCATTTGCCTATATCATGAGGGAAAAAAGCAGGCATCTGGCCTACATTTTCCTCACATTTCATTTTCCTAGATGCTTTAGAGTGAGAGAAAGAATGTTGGCAGATAAATTGGTAGAACTGAAAATCTCCAAGACCAAGAAAGCAGGGTTGGAAAGGTAAAGATGACAGCTTTACTGAATTGCTGTAAGACCCCCAAAATTCATTAATATTTACATTTCCCAATCATAGTTGAAAACATGCATGTTATCTAATCTACATACAGAGAGAAAAACAGTTTTTTCCCCCTAAAGATAGCTGTCGGCTATAAATTCAGTTGGAATGTGATCTTGTTTGCTTCAATTATTTCTTATTTAAAGGACTCTCAAGACTTAGTCTTACTGATATTATATGTTTCATGGGGATTATCAGTCACCATGTACTGGATTTATTGAGGTAATTACTAGATTCACTGTTAGACACACCTATGATGTCAGCCTTTTCAATAATGTAATACCTCTCCGTAAGTGCACAGGTCTGCTCTTGAAGTGCATTATTAAAATAATGAACAGTTGAGAAACAAAAAAGTTAGATCTCATTAAGACCCAAAAGTATTTCTAATTTAGGGGTGAAATCACTCTCAGATTTTAAAGCTGATAGGTATTTTCCCATCAGGAGAAAAATTTTAAGTTTTTATGAGTCTTTTAAACACTAGTATGTATTTTACAAAAGCCAATAGGAAATATTTAGGAATATTCAGTGTTTAGAAATAAATCTTTAAAGCCTAGAGATTCTGTTCAGTACATGCCTTCATCACGTTTATAAAAGGTTACTTTAATAGTAGGAAATAATTCATACTGTCAACTCACATGTGCAGTTACCACTCTCTATTGACTGGTCAAGTTGAGCCCAAAGTAGGCATAGATGAGTGACTACCTAACTGATGTTCAGTTGTACAAGAAAAGTGATTAATCTAGTCTTGCTTTGGAGTAAATGACTAATACTTTGTTTTCTAAAATGGAGGTGGCTTGTATCATCCATATAAAATGTATTTACGAAGAGAAAACAACCTAAATATCTTTTAAAATTGCTTCTCCCCTTTACAAAGTAAAGCTGCTTAAATAGTAGATGCATTATTTTTCTTATGATTCACTTGAACTACTGAATTATAAAAGCTCTGTGTATAAAAGCTTAATCCAATGAAAATGTGACCTGTTTAAGTCTATTTGAATAGAGGAGAAATACTGTGTAATATATGGATGACTCATTTATTTTTAATTCCTATGAGGAAATAAATGACAGACTCATAAAATATAAATTTAAACAATGGCTTTAAAGATTCTTTAAGAATAAAAACTTGAGAAAGGTGTTGAGATAACCAAACAAATATGATTATAAAGTTTTTAAGTAAAGAAACTCATCTTGAGAAAAGTAAAATGGGGCTTCCCTGGTGGCGCAGTGGTTAAGAGTCCGCCTGCCGATGCAGGGGACACGGGTTCGTGCCCCGGTCCGGGAAGATCCCACATGCCGTGGAGCGGCTGGGCCCGTGAGCCATGGCCGCTGAGCCTGCGTGTCCAGAGCCTGTGCTCCACGACGGCAGGGGCCACAGCAGTGAGAGGCCCGCGTACGGCAAAAAAAAAAAAAAAAAAATGTAAAATGACTTTCCCAAGATTAACCATCTAGGTTTGTGACAATAACTGTAGTTAAAATCTGGTTGTCTGGGATCCCAGTCTAAGACATTTCCTCTTCACTTAATTGGCTAGGCCATTAGAATGAGAGGGAAGACCTGAGGAGATGAGAAGGATAAGGGGAAGGGAAAGGTATTTCACATGCACTGAATGACATTGCATGTCATTGCAAGCATTACATTGCTTCTGTAATGAGCATAGCATTGTTCCATTGCACATAATTATTACTGACTCATGCCCAACAAGGTAAGAGATGCCTATTAGTTTCCACCTAATCTTCTGTGGACAATATAAAGAGTATGATTACAGGTAGATTGTAGTGGCCATCCAGTCCTTGTGAGAAGGTTCATAGTAAACCATACTCAGAACATCTCAGATGTAACTGATTCATGAGAGTCGTCGAATTTTATACTATGAGAAAGAATCAGTTTGGCATTGCATATATAAATATTTTTTCCCTGGATTCCAAATTCCGCACCAAATTATTTCATTGACATCTAAATAGATGGGAAGAAATTAAGCAGTGGCTTATGTATAGAAAGGTATTTGTCTTTAAAGGGGTGGAGAGAGGCTGGGTATGTTATTCTAATAGAAGGAAATAGGAGTGGGGAATAGTATAATCGAATTTATCTATATATATATACTGTTATATTTTCACATTCTTCTCTGGAAGGTTTTAATTATACTGTATGTGTTATTCATTAGATTTATCTCATGTCAATTAGAACTGTTTGCTTATTACATTCTAAGATTGATTGATTCAGTGATTCTCACATTTTAGCTGGCATCAGAATCACCTGGGGGGTCTTCTTAAAACAGAGGTTGTTGCCTCCTCCCCTTAGTTTCTGGAATGGGGCTCAGAATTCTCTGTTTTTATCAGTTTCCCAGCTGATGCTGAAGCTGCTATTTTCGAACCACATTTTTAGACCCATGGATCTAGGGTCTGCTTTAAAATCAATCTGTAAACTTGACTTTTTAGTTAAATTATCAGCAATATGAGATGATAAGTATAAATTATCTTACCTTAACGCACGTATTCTTTCTTTCCTTGCATGCGCAGAAACAAGACATTCTTAAACAAGTAAGACATTTTCTTTTCTATTAAAATCTGTCTTTTCTTTCTTTATTCTGATGTGAGCTATGAATTTCTTATCCGTATCACTGAGCTATACTTCTGTGCCAATAAGATTCGTATAATATACAATATTAACTGTAATACTTATAAAGTTGTAAGTGACAGATACTTGTTTAAATTAAAGACTCAAATGGAGGAGCTGATACCTCAGTAGAATCAAAAAGGGTCCAGAGTGCCGGCTTCAGTTTTGGAGACTCTTGAACTTAATTTTCTAATTTCACCGAAATAGAATCAGGCTCTGGTAAAATGATCTATTTAATGAAAGTCTTAACTTATTATTTTACAGTGGGAGATTTAATAATTGCTTTTAAGTGAGATGGATAAGGACTTTTTAATTGGTCTACAGTGCTGTTGGAATCTGTGAAGAAAATATGAGTGAAAAGCGCTTGACTTTAGCCCTCCTGGGAAAAAGAGCAATCCATCTGTTGTTTCAACCAGTCTCTCCTAGTAAAGTCCATTTTGTCAAGGAAGTTTTAGGTCCGTAGTTCTGTTGGATCCCTAGAATTACAACACATTTTTGAGTTCTCTAAATGGAGATGTTTATATCCTGCTGGGAATATATCTTACTAAAATGCACGAGCTGCCTAAAACCATAACATTGTCTCCCTTGGACAATACTGGCTATGTACTAGTTGCTTCTTGTTCACAAGTTTCCCTGTTGTTTCAATGACAACAAGCACTGCAGTTTCATCCCCAACATGTCCCAGTACAATTGATTACATCAGAATGATCTTGACTGACTTAGACACTGGTCCTACATACTACAGTCTCCTAGGATGAAGCACAACTGAAATGGCAACTCATTGACCGTGATGATTTTTACCAGCCCCTTTCACAGGATGGCCTTTCCCTGATCTCATCCCTGACCTCTGTGGAAACCTACTAGCTCCCCCAAAGACAGTCTACATGAGCTTGATGTTGTTAGGAGGCAACCCCTCAGAGTAAACAGTTGCTTTTATTAAGCAGGCCCTAGTTTTTAAAGGGCATTTGTTGAACACCTTACTCAACAAACACACCATTCTGCACAACCTTCATCCCTGCTCCAGGCTGTTTGAAAA